TTACTCTATATGAAGTGCTTTCGATGTATAAAAGTCAATGCTCGTGACGTGTATGGTGTCTCTAGTTAAACCAAAATCTTATAAATATTTCAGGAGTTTTTGAAGCGTCGGCTACGGCTCGTTGTTTTATATCTGATAAAACACTATTTTTTGTTTTTTAAGCACCACGTCAAGATTTAAGCTAGGTTTTAGCCTGTTGTAACCAAGTTTTCATTTGAAGCTCGTTTATAGACTTTATTTTCTAACTTGAGAAATTATAATTTCAAGGACACTTCTTAAATAAACTAAATTTGTCTATATTTATCTATTTATTTATGTATAAATATTTGCTTTTTTCATTTGTTTGCTTCATTCGTTTTTCTAATTATATTGTTAAACAAAAATTGTCGTATTTGTTTTGCATGATGTCTGTGCGTGTTATTGCAAGCGAATGGCTTTCTGCCTGCGGCGCGGCCGTAGATGCACGTTTATAAAAACCCAGAAAATGTTAGTATGTATGAAATAAAAAAATTACACCACGAAAAGTGCCTGAACGATTGTTATTCACTCGTTGCTACGCACCAAAAAACTCAATCGTTCGCTGCGCACACTCGTTCGTTTTTTGTTTTTTGTTTTTTGTTTTTTTTGGTGCTGTGCAGCTCGCGAATAAAAATCGTTCGTGGAACTTTCCGTGGAGTAATCTCTACCTGTTTGTCTAGAAAATAAAAAAATATAGAGTCTCGGGCAAAATTTGAGGGTTTTGCCCTCTTGAAGTTCAAAACGCGTATGGTTCTTCAATAAAATCGTGAAGATTATTCAGGGTACTATCGTCGTGTACGAGTTAACGAAATACATCATGGGTTTCCGAACACATGAGTGGGACTTCACTTAGAAAAAAAATTAAGTGAAGACACCAAGAATCGAAATTTGAATTTGAATCTACGGAATTCCCCTGACAATTCCCATACACGACTATATAACCTTATTCAGCGGTTTTTGATCACGCGCACGTCGTGGGCTTAAATCGAATGCTGAAAAGTAGTCAGCCACCTTAAAGTAGACATGGACGACAGGTATTGGGTGCTAAACCCTTCAAACATTTAAACTTTAGAACAACATCTCTGAGATATACGAGTTTGAAATTGGTAAGAGTATATATAGATAACTGTATAAGTGCTGGTGTTATGTGATCATACTTTAGTTTCCCAGATATTATACGAGCAGAAGGTTTGAACCAACTACAATTTACTAATATTAATTAATTAAGTTTAGTTTAGTTTAGTTTATTTCTCACAATATAAACATATACTTTTTATAAAACTTGAGACATTTTGTAAGTGGCGAAGAACAGAACTTTCGCCCCGATTGATATTCCTTCTCCATACAATTTACATACAGTACAAACATGATTAACATTGAAATTGTCAAGGAAAAAAATAATAAAAAGAAAAACATATCAAAATTTATCAAAATTCAAATTCAAAAGATTTTAAGGTGGTAAGTAATGTTCCATTTTGGAAGCAAAATGGGTGGTTACAAGCTCATTAAAATTGGAAGAGTCAGTCCCGTCGATCGCAGGCAAATTAGAGTCTCCGACAAGAATAATTTGGCTGGTATTCCGGTGCACTTTGAAGTGCAGTGTTCAATTTATCTAGAACATCAAGAGTGGAATCAGGAGGACGGTAAAAGGTGTAAAGCATCACAGATTACACAGATTTACAACTAGGCCTGCTCACAATTTCAACAACAATTAGTTCAGTATCAATTATTGAGCATGAGAGAAAACAAAGGGCTGGGGCATTGAATATTTGAAACTTCACCATCAGCTCTTCCCTGCTAAATTCAAAACCCTCCCCGGCTTTAAGTTTCAGAGCTTATTAATGAGACTGTGGGTAGTTTTGGTCTGGCACACCTAGCCGCATTAAAACGGCTACAACTTCGTCTTGAATAACTCGATCTGCAAGCACTTTTCACACAATGTCAGGAAAGGATTAAAGGTTTCAAAAATGGTAAACTAGATTAAAGTGGCCTTTTCGTTATGACGTAATGATGACATCATAGAAATCGTTTACCGCTTATTTTCTCGAAAACTAAACCTAAACTTTYAAAGCGACTTGCGCCAGTCGATAGTATTCATCGAGGCACCCAACATATTGCAATATGAAAAAAATTTATGAAAGCGTTTTCCAAATATTACGCGATGAATATTTTCATGGACTTTTACTTTTACTGAGGCGATTTATACACATGATATTGTAATAAAATAAGAATAGCATAACACTCGCCTTTATATCAAAGCTGGCATCAAATAGTCTTTCAAAAATTTCTTCGGTAAAACCAATAGCTACGTATATCACAAAAGTGCCATTTTTAAGGTAGTTCGCATGGCTCTTTGCAATCATGCTCTTTTGCGAAGACTTTATACGTTGATATTCACTTGAACGCACAAATGATACATATTCGATTTCAGGCTTAATGTCTGAGCCTATATCGAATCGTTTCAGAAGACGAAAAAGCAGATCTTTGAGCATATTTATCAGAATATCGCCACATGATCGAAACTCTACACAGTACACATGAGCTCAGGTACGGCGCGCATGCGCAGTAAAATGGCCCCTTGTGAAAACACAGTGATGTACACAGTGAAAAGCTCACACAGGAGGGAACGTAGATGGTGACTGATACTAATAGAGACGACAACAAAAACACGTCATAAGTTTTCGATCAGTTACCTCACTAATAAAATAAAGCATTCGTGTGATGGGAAAATGAACTAAACAAAATGTGAATAAGATTTAATAAACAAGCAATAGTGTTTTATGAACTGTTTAACACATAAGGGGTGTTTACCATTTAAATCAATCCATCGGGTTAGAAGTTTGTTTGCTATTAGTAAAAATTGAGCGGAAAGATTTGACATCCGGATTTTCTAGGTAAATAAACATTGCCCCAGCTCTCGATCGACTTCTACCAAAATTTCCTTATGTTCATAGCAGGCTCAGACTCCCTTACAGGCGCCCAGGCCGTACATGTACAGTAATTGGCGATTTCTATTTGTTAAATGTACTGAAGAAAGAAAAGCAATTTTCATAATTTTTTTCCTTTTTCCTTTAATTATATTCGCTTAATAAAATTGTTATACATGGAATTTGCAGTAAAATCCAGCGATAAAAATATTAGAAAATATTAATTAAACAAAGTTTGGTAAGTTTTATTTACAGATTTCATTTCCAAACACCAGCATTCGGGCATCATGTAACCCAAAAGGTCTCACTGAAAAAGTAGGACTAATTAACATCCCTTAAATAATGCCAGGATGTATTGCCGGTTTTCAATTATTCCCTAGGGAGTGAAAAAACAAAAGACACGGTGGCTGATATAACTGGATGATATAACAAAAGAGACTCGCATTGCTGTCAGTTGGAATATTTAACCCTTATTGACTGGGGACGAGAAAAACAGTGTGTTTTGTGGTCTCTCGACGTACTTTCCCGAGGTTCTTGTCAATAAGTGTTTTGTTATATACCAAGTGTTAAAGAAAAAAATGCAGTTTTTTGATTTTTTGATTATTTCATTTCGAAAAACTTAGAAAATCTTACATTTCCGGGAAAATCACTTCCGGTATTGTTATTATCGGTCAACAACATATTGTTGCCCGCTGAAAAGCCGTTGCTGGGACAACATCGAACCTTGTTCACGTTCACGCGATACCCTCTCGCCCAATCAGAATACGAGAAAAATGGGCTTTGATAGTTAGTATATAACAAATCTATACATGTTGTTATATAGCTACAAAATTTTACGATTTAACGAACGCTCTCATTAGTTGAAAGTTGACCAGGTGACATTAGCTAAATCTAAATGCATCCCGCTCGGGAAACAAGTAACTTATTTTCACGTACTTACATAAGAACTTACTTAATATTGCCTGCCAATTATTCATCGGGCTTTTTCGAAGGAAACCGCCGAGTTATAAATTGGGCTTCATTTTCTACGTTCACACAAATCGACGCCGCGTTCACAGAACCTACTGAGATTATATTTAGTGCGCATGCGTGGTAATATGCGCCGTAGAAGCACATGGTCGACGAGTAATGGGGAATTGTCTCAAGGTCTCGTTGCTGACTGCGAATAGCGACCTTAATCTTTAACTACGACGGCGACGTCAACCGGAAGTGTAAATAATTTCTCTTTGGGGTTCTGTTCATTGGAGATTTCATTAAAAACATCGTCAGTGAAGTCAACTCATTCGCGAGGTTTCCGTGAGATCAATTTACAAAGCGAACCATTACGAGTGAACCTTTTATCGTGCACCATGCTGTGACTGCTATATCAAATGGACTATCTATCAAAAATCATGCTATATCAAATCGGCTATCTCATGTTAGCCTACGTAGGGAATCGCCGTCAGGTGTTTAGCGAAGCACAAGCATTATTTACGTCTATGAAAGATAACTTTTTCTACTCTTTCACAGTTAGAGAGAAAGCCCGAGTTCACGTAGTCATGCGTCTAGCTATCATTAAATTGGCAACATGACACATGTACACTTCGTTTTGCATCATACATTCTTAAATGGATAATCAATAATAACAATAAAAACTGTATTACATATAATTGTGTTATCAACATTTGGTACCTAAATATGTAATCATGAAGTTTACATCGTGCATACAACACATGGTAATCTTTCGCTGTTAGTGAATGGTGGACAGCTGAAAGTATTGCAATCAGCTCGCAGAGCCATGATGTAATCTGGCGTGTCAAATAAAGCTCGTGCATCTCTGTCAATACATACAAGTTGTTTTTGATCTCCTCTGTTAACCTAGTCGTTTTTACAAAAGAAAAAAGAAAAATTCATGGGTGCAAAATAGCTAAAGCTCTTGTTCCAACAAGCAGCACATTCGTCACCTTGTTTCCCAACTGAAACATGAATGTCACGTTTGTAATAAATCACGTCTAATTTAGTTTAGGCCTAAGTTTGGGGAATACAATAAAGGGACCGAATTGTCTTCAAAATAAACTGTACTCTGTGAAAGACGAATGAAGGATGACGACATACACATATGCATACTGAACGTACCTGAACAGCCAAGAAACCATCATATTGCCTGTGCCATTTTCTGTAGCATTCCTTACGTGCCGGAAGCATTATTTGAATGCTGTGTTTGCTCGAAAGGCAGGCCACACAAGTCAAGTAGTATTGAGAGGCTCGAAGGGCACCCTCACCCTCCACACTGATTGTAGTAGCATTACGTATAGGGGAACTTTGATCCCGCTGTCCAAAGTACCAGGGTTTACTGGGTATACACTTGTACTCTGAGCCACCTGGTCGCCTCGTCCCATGTGTAACAGAGCCTGCTTGTCCTATTATTATAATGCACATAAGGTTAGAGTGTTTTTTTGCATTAACATGATATGACATGATTGATATGACATGTCCTGACTGATATGACATGACATGTACAGTATTTTCGTAATAACCTGACATGACATGATTGATATGACATGTCCTTATCGACATGACATGACATGTATTTTTGTATTAACCTGACATGACATGATTGATATGACCGCATCGCGTACAATTCCGGGTCACTTCCAGTGATTTTGCCCATTTGCATACTGTATCGCGGAACGGCTGTCACATTTCATGCTCATTAACCTCAAGGAATTACAAAGAATAAGGAAGAATTGGTACTTTCCACTCTCGATCGCAATCACGGGAAAGCGTCAAGAAAAAATGTAGCACCGGAAAATAAAAGTAATTTAACGATAGTTTAGTGTGCTTTAGTCTTGCCTCTTAGCTCTTGGTCGATCCAGCGATTTTCTTTGAGTGAATACTGTGTCAAAATTGCGTCCTTTTGTATGGAAAGTACGACAATGCCATTAAGAAATGCCATAGTATGTCTTCGTAAATGCCCTTCTGAAAAATGTAGCACCGGAAATTTGATGTACATTCACTGCCTTAGGTGAATCCTGCATTTGTTTCTTTCGGCTTTAAATGTGATTGCGATTTTTGAAGTATTTGTTCAGTCACTGTGGAGGTTGGTTTTGAGAAGAGAAGCCCAGAATTGCTCGAGAATTGCGTAAAATTTACAATCGTTCTTCATTCTTTGTCCGCCGTATCGAGTAGCCATGGTCGTAAAAAAACCATACGCGAGATGACATGATAATTGAAACGGGAACTCAGTGCAATAAATTATATCTTTTGTCATAAACAGGGTCTACAAATTTGATTTCTTTTTATCATAAACAGGGTCCCTGTCAGAATCCCAGCGGAACACCCCTCCCCAAATTCTGGGGGGGTCCCCCCCCCCCCCCCCCGGGATCCAACCATGACAAACGTTTGTAGCAAGATGTCGCCAAACAGACGACAGATCCCGAAAATAAATAACGATACATTGGTCACGTCGCCGTCGATACATCGATCTGATTGGCTCCGAACAATATCCAAAAGTATATCGGACTAAAATCGGTATTCGATTTGGGCTTCCTTTCGTGCTTCGTGCTTCTTTCGGTACATTGATCTTTTGTCAACCGGTGCCCGGGAATTTATCGATTAGTTTCTGTTGTTACTCACGGACTCACGGACTTACAGCCCGATGACATAGTGGCTACCGCTTCACTAGAAGCAGTAGCCACAATAAGCTAAACGTACCTGAATATATTTCAGTTGATCCTTGAGGACACGCTGTTCTTCCCCATCGATAGAATATTACACCAGAAGATGTTTTTGTATGACCATTGAGGTCGCTGTCACTCGAAGCATGGGCAGCAAGATAGCATGGTTTTGGAAAGCGCCTTCCATTTTCAGTAACATAGCATTTGGCTTCGCCAGAACTTCCTTTCTCTCCTTTCGCTCCCGATCTTCCACTGACACCTGGTTCTCCGTTTTCTCCAGCTTCACCTCTAGGACCACGGTCACCTTTGGGACCAGGTAGCCCAATTTCTCCTTTTTCAATCAATAAGATTATGAATTTAGGGTGATTATTGAAAAGGATGTCATTTTATACGCATTTACGATTAAAAGGAACTAGGTAACTGCTTCATTGCAAAGCGTGTATTTATAATAACAACAACAATAACAACAATAATAATAATAATCATAATAATAATGATGATGATAATACTAATAATAATCAAGAGAATATGAAGTAAGTTACTTGTAATAATATAATGATAACTATTATAATAATAATAACAAATCATGGAAAGCAGTGAGCGTATATGGAGGATGCAAAATGGCAGGGTGAGCTCTTTAAGAGTAGGTCCGAGAATGAGGACCTTAACAAGGAAGACCGTTTTGCTTGGCTCCACCATTGGAAAAATGTGCCTACGCACACCGTAGTAAGTGTTAAAGCAAAATTTAACCCTCAGCCTCAAACACTAATTCTAGTATCTATTCGATTATGCGGCAAAGTCCCGGAAAGTGTCTCACACATCCTAGCGGGGTGTACGGCGCTTGCGCAAATGAAGCAGCTTGGGCGACATAACGACGCCGTCAAGATCTTGTTCTTTGAAGTTCTCAGATCTCTAGACCTGTTGAAAACGGTGGGTCCTTGGTACTCGCAAGTTCAGTCTAAGGCGATGTATAAGAATACATACACACACACACACGCACACACACACACACACACACACACACACACACACACACACACACACACATACATACATACATACAATTTACAATAAGAACAATTCTAAAGAATTACATGTACAATCAAAGAAACTGATAAGATTTAAAAATAAATAAAATTAAATGAAAATGAAAATGAAAATAAAATAAATAAAAAAAGCGGGCAGGTCAATGCTAACAGATCGGATAGCCCACTTCCGAGATATGCTTCGCTTGTCACGCACAAAGGCTTCAGTATGAGGCTACGTGCTAAATGCGCTCAGTCATTCGTGACAGGCGGTAAGAATTAATTTAATATAGCAAGCGAAGCATACCTCGGAAGTGGGCTATTGATGCACCATAGTCGACAAGGAGAAGAAGGAAATCTCATTCAACGAGATAAGCTATTCTCGGGTCGAAGGGAAGGAAAAGACACCGAGAAGACGACTAAGTACAGTTGAAGAAGAGATACCCAGGTGACCGCGTCACACAGCACAACATTTGCATTGATGTCTTGGGAGGATACTCAAGAAAGGTCAGCAAGGCGATCAAAGACCTCGTGGGCGACAAGAGCTGATCCATCGCTCTTCTGATGCAGAAGTCTGTTATAACAAGTTCGCTTCACCTCAATGCACGAACTGTTAAGATTTTAAACTGAACTTTAGATATATAGTTAAGAATTTGCGTTATAGTAATGATGAAAAGGTAAATTATACACCGTGAAAAGATGAAAAAACTTACTGACGTTTCGGACGCTAGTCCTTCGTCGGAGTAAAAGAGAAAG